GGACAAATATCCGTGCATATTTCCGTGCTAAATAGAGGCTATTGTTTATTTCTTTATCTAGCGACATGCAAATATTCGCTCCAAATTTTAAAAGAACAATTGAAATGGTGTCGAATTAAAGACCAAAGCAAGAAGGTCAAAAACTCAAGGTGAACGGCTGGCATTGACATTTGTAAGCTGTTACCTGGGAAATCAAGTTAACGTCTACTGCAATCGCTAACTCTCTTGAAACTTTGCCATAGCAAATACAGCTAATACGAACTGAAGAAGTTCGTTGTATTTTCGCCGGTATTTTATAAAACCGAGCTTTGCCATAGTGCTGTAAGATCTTCATCTCACCGAGATTTAATAAGCAGCGCCATTTTCTACGCGCCTTGTTGGCTATTTTCCATCTCATATTAACGTACGCTCGTGGAATAACAATTAAATATTCACCGATTTTTAAAAAAGACAACACAAATTCACGGCCACAGCGTAAAAACCGATCTCGGCGGCTGAAAATTAATGAAAACTATTGCGTATGAAAAGTTTGTAGGAGTTCTCAGCAACTGGTTCCTATTCAGTAAGGTCAGCATGAAGATCTTCCTTTCCGAAAGTTTCACATTAGCAAGATCATATTTGCACCTGAATAAGTACCGTTTATTTATAGAACTCTTACAAACATTCACTAATTAGGATAAGTGTTTCAACCAAGAAAATGTAATTTTCATGTACTGCGTGTGCTCAATACGTTGAGCATACACAGTTTCAATAGGTATACATCATTAATAATGGCAGATATAGGCCGTATCTCAAGTCCTATGAACTAATATGAATAAAAAACGTTTTACCACTATCTTTAAAAAAAAAATAGTAACTTTCCTCGACGAGGAATATTCAGTGAGAATTTTTTGGACTGTGTTTACTCCATCTATGAAGACTTTAACAAATTTTGGTCGTCATTTCGGAGAGGCTTCTACCCTCGAAATTCCATTACAGATGAAACTAAAGAAGTAAAAATAACCTTATGCTTTGACGATGACATGATTTAAGCGAATCAGAGTTTCAAGAGATAAAAGCATTTCACGAAATCAACTACAAGAAACTGAGCGCCGACTATGGGATAAGAGATCTCGATGCATTGAAGTGATTATTCGTTTTTGAGGTAGAAGAACTGTCCCCGTTTGCTTAGTTGTGCCGGATGACTTTTCCAAAGTTCAACCAACAAGTTTCCCGCGATTAACACATTTCGTCAGCAGGAGGAATTTACCTCAATGGGGAGAGATCTTTGGTACACCCACGCAATTGACAATAATTAAGTACTGCTGATCTGCCAGCAGTTCAATTATTTAGTTAGTAAGGTATGGTTTAGTCCTTTGTTGATACTGCCTATTTGGTTAATACAG